TAAAAGTGTTCCACGCCCTCGCCCAAACGACAGCGGGCTTTTCAGGAGGCCATAGGGGCAAATGGAAAAACCCACCCGCCGTCTGCGAAGGCCTGCCCTCTCTCTCTTGCCCCCTCGGCACGCCACCGAAAAAAGTCTAGACCCCATCCCTGGGAACGGCTTTTCACCCCGAGCCGCGTCTTGACGGAACCCCAGCTTGGCAAGGGCCACCGACCACATCCCAAAACCTCCCGTCGTGACTTCTTGTCCACGTCACGAAACGGTCGGCGATCGGGTCATCATTGAAGCCTCAGGCAACCTCTTGGGACGATTCCCGCATCCCCAGAGGGCCCTCGGCGAGGCGCAAGTCCTGGAGGAACTTGTTTTTTTATTGGGGGGGGGTAGCGCCCGTTGCGGGGTGGGGGGGGGTCCGGCCTGAAGTTGGGGGTAACGGTAACGCGCGGCGGGGCCCTCGCACGGGCCCTGGTACTTATTACCAGCACAACTGTCGGCACGGTAGGCTTCGTCGTCGTCGTCGTCGTCGCCGCTGTCGTCGTCGTCGTCGAAGCCGACCGTGCCTGTGCACACTACACAGGCTCTGTGCACCGCGATGCCTTTGTACACCACAACTGCGGCAAAAATGGTATGTGTGTGCACCACGGCGACTGAGCACATCATGACAGGCGGGTGCATCATAGCGCCCTTGTACATCTCACTGCTGGCGCACACCACGGCGCCCGCGTGCACCACAGCTGCTGTTTCAACGCCCCGTGTTTGCACCAGAATGCCAGCGTACACCACAAAGCTTGTGTACACCTGTAAGGTACCGGCGGAGCGAAAGTCCAGAAGATCGCTCGGGGCCCAACCGTGGCCCTTTCATTCTGTGAGCTTCTTGTGGATATTACTCTTTCTGGTTCAAAAAGCGCTCGGACCTGTTGAGCCCACAGCGCCTGTGCACTCCATTGCGATTGTGTACATCATGGGAGCGTGAACCGTGGCGCCTGCGTATACCACATGGCATGTGTGCACCACAAAGTTTGTGTAAGGTTTTTCTCTGCGGAGTGTAAACCACGCACCGTGGGGGCGCGCGTGGCGGCGGCAGCCTAGGGAATACAGGAAGCAGGAGCTCCCTGCACAGGCACAAGGCCCTTGAGACATGGGTCGACGGCTGGAGCGTGCACGCGGGTGTGTCGTCGTCGTCGCCGTCAGTTGCGACGGCGACCGGGGGGGCGACGGCGGCGGCGGCGGCGACACGGGCGGCGGCGACGGCGACCACGACGACGACGACGACGGCGGCGGCGACGGCGACGACGCCGACGGCGGCAAGCGGCGGCGGCGGCGGTGAAGGTGACCGCCGCCGCCGTCACCGCCGTCGTCGTCGCCGCCGATGCCGCCGTTGCCGTCGCCGCCGCCGCCGCCGTGTCCGCAGCCAGTTGCCGAAAGCTTCAACAGCGCTTGGGGCCCACTTGCTGGATACACATGCGGGGGGCTGGCGTGACCAGCCGCGCGAGGTAGGAGGGCCGAGCGCTGGAAGGACATGCGGCCACATCCGCGCGCAGGTCTCGCCCAGTCCAGCCCCTTGCACCAGCACAGGGAGAATGGAGGGAGGACAGTGGTAGTAGTCATAATGATATTGTGAGAGTGCACCGGCTGGTTGCGCCGGCTGGTTGCGCCATGACTTGCCCGATGCGTTACACCACACGTTGTGCTTGCGTACAATTACCTGCGCCATAGGTTGACCCGTAAGCTGCGCCATAGGATGCGCCCCCAGGGCGTGCCATAGCTTGCGCCATAGGTTGCGCACACAGGGCGCCCCACAAGTCGCGCCTTACGTTGCGCCCCCAGGGCGTGCCATAGGTTGCGTCGATGGTTGCGCCACAGGTTGCGCCGAAGGCGGGGCCACTTTGTGGCGCTGCGTTTCAACGGAACTCCTGGTGCGCGCACTGTTCGGGGAAACGTCGTGCTGGCAGGCGGGCGTCGGGACTCCAGGTGCGGCCCGCAGGATAATGACAACGGACGCGGCAGGGATGGAAGGAGGATCGGAGAAGGATGATCGGAGGAGGACGCTCGGAGGGACCAGAGGAAGATGATCCCCCTCCTCCTCCGATCGCCCTCCGATCCTCCCTCCTCCTCCTCCTCCTCCTCCTCCTCCTCCTCCTCCTCCTCCTCCTCTTCTGCCCCCTCCTCCTCCTCATGCCCCTCCTCCGATCCCCCATCACCTCCTCCTCCGATTCTGTTCCAACCCTCCTCGTCCTCCTCGTCCTCCTCATCCTCCTCCTCCTCCTCCTCCTCCTCCTCCCTCTGCCTCGCTCCCCCCTCCCCCCAGGAGGTGAGAGGACGTGGAGGGCACGAGCACTGGAGGGAGTGCAGAAGCAAGGCAAAGGAGGCGGAGGGGCCAGGCCGGAACCCGTTGAAAGGTTCGCGCCGAGGGATGCGAACCTCGAACATCGAGGATCGAGGCATCCTGGCCCTCGAGGGCCTTCGTCGTCGCCGCGGCTGGACGCGGCTCGGGAAACTCGTGCGTCTGAACCCCAGTCGGGCCCCGTGGACCCATTTTGAGTTTGCGCCGAGGTTCGAACCTCGAACCTCGAACCTCGAACCTAAGCACCTAAGCACACATGTGAGCGTCACAGCATGCCTGCGTGGACGGAGGGGGTCCGCACCCCCGTCCCCGTACGCTCGTTACCGTTACGGGGGGGGGGGGGGACCCCCCCCCCGTAACGGGCGTTACGGGTCCGAGCAATAAAAAAAAAACAAGCTCGAGGGCTAGTCCAAGCAGCCCCAGCGCGCCAGCCCTTGCCTGTGGTGGGACCCCTGAGGCCCGCACCAAATAGTCACTCTGGCGAAAAGTCATTCTCACGTGCAGCCGGAGCCATCGTGCTCCATCATCGAGCCGGGACCGACCGTCCTGGCATCCCTGTACGCCCCCCACGACATGTGCTTAGAACCTGCACATGATGTTATTCTTCGAACAAAATCACTATTCTGAAAACATCAACACGATGTGTTTATATATATAATATATATATATATATATGTATATATATAAACGAACCAACTTCCGCCAACAATGTTCTGAGAACATTCCGTCCAAACCGTGAACAATTCGCAGAACATCCTTAAGTAGGCCCATAGACAAGCCGGAACGTTTCGCCCCTGTTTGACACAAAATCACTCTAGCGAAAGGCCACTCATATGCAGCCCGAGTCATTTAGGCGGCCAGCCCGGGGGGGGAATGAGAAGGGGCGGGCCTGTGAAGAAGGCTCAGAAGTCCCCAGGCCGTCTGATAAGTTTTCTACGCCTTCCCAGAAGACACGAAAGACTTCTCAGAAGGCTCGAGGGCTTCCTGAAAGTCCCGCCGCCATCTGAGAAGGCCTTCTCCTTTCTACTTCCCCCTCGCTCGCCGCCGATCATCGTGCTCCCATCAGGAGCAGAGGAGGAGGAAGAGGCGGAGGCGGAGGACGAGGAGGAGGAGGAGGAGGAAGAGGAGGAAGAGGAGGAAGATGAGGAGGAGGAGGAGGGGGAGGAGGAGGGGGAGGGCGAGGAGGAGGAGGAGGATGAAGAGGAGGAGGAGCGGAGCGGGCTTGCGTGGCCCCGCCTTACCTCGGCCACGAGCCAGGGCCCCACCCGTTGTGGTCCTGCTCGAGTTGGGGCTCGACTGCCAGCATTGATTTACCCCGAGGTTGTTTCCTTCGCCGAATGCCTGAACAAAGCTTGGGTATTGTTTGTCGGTTCGGCGAGAAGATCCATTTCAGGGTGCTCCAATTCTGTCGTCGATCCCCGACTCAACCTCGGGGATTCTTGTCCAATGCAAGGAACCCCAATTGGTAATCCCCAAACGTGGTGGTGACAACACCTGGCGGTGAGTCTCGGGCGATTTGGTGTCACCACCCGGTTTGGGGACTCGTGCGGTTTTCCGAGGACGTCCCGAACACTGGTGGGTCCAGGAGTCACAGAACCCGGTGGTGACCCCGTGTCCCCAAACCCAGCGGTGACCTTTTTGGGGATTCCAGGTCGCCACCTGGTATCTCACCACCCGGTTTGGGGGTTCCCAAAACAAACATCCCGACCCTTGTTCCCCGGGAGCGGTTTCTGCCATCCCGAACCGACGGTCCCAGGGCACGGCATACGAGCCACCAGGGAAACGGCGAGAGACGAGCAGGTCTTCATGCATAATGACATGACCCCTAATCCTTTGGGAAGGGACCTAAGTCAGGAGAGCCAATAACATTAGGGATAAGGAGGTCTTTTCTGCAGATGTATCAAGCCAATCCGCCTAATTGTAGTTGTTACCCCTACTCTGTTACTAGGGTTTGGAACTCCTTTTATCGTCGGTGATGTCTGGGTGCGCGCACGGCCGGACTTCGGACAGAAGGGCGCTCTTCAAGAACCTGAAACCCTCCGGCGGCCAGACGGAATAACTCTCCAGGGAACCCTCCCCCACGATGCGCAAGAGCATCCAACAGACGCGAAAATACATTATAGGGGGCCCTCCCCGAACCGACCTCGATCTTCTACTCGAAAAAAGAAAAACCACATAAACATTAACTTTTGGCGCTCCGCGCGAATCCCTACGCTCCGCGCGCGGAGCGCGCCAGGGGCGGCGCCGGAGGCGCCGCCGAGGGGGGCCCGGCGCGGATCCAAGAAACCCGCGCGGGGCGCCAAAGTTTATGCCTATGGCGTTCTTTCTTCTGTGAAGTCGGGGGCCCTCCCCGAACCGACCTCGACCTTATACCTGGATCCGACCGTGCGCGTAGCCGAGAGCCTGTTTTTTTTGTGGATTCAGGCAAGTTTACTTGCATGGCGTTCGCCCCCCCCCCCCCCCCCCCCCCTCGCCCCTCTTCAAGCGAATACTAGCGTGCAAGTGCCTTTCGACTTGCGTGATTTCCGCCCCCCCCCCCCCTGGGGCTTGCTTCAGGCTCAGCCCCCCCCCCCCCGTCCATGCAAGTAAACTTGCCAGAGTCAAAAAAACAGGCTCCGAACAATGTTGCCCCGAGGGATGGAAGCACCGCCAGGCGCGCCTCGATGCCCTGCAGAAACGGCCCCCTGGAGAGGTCCACCGCCTCGCCCCACGGGTCCAGGGCCGCGGCCCTGCGGAAGCAGTCCGCCACGGGGCCTGCGACCAGCGCGGGCCGTCGTGGAGGAGGAGGAGGAGGAGGAGGAGGAGGAGGAGGAGGAGGAGGAGGAGGAGGGAGCACGAGGAACACGAGGAGGAGGAGGAGGAGGAGGAGGAGGAGGAGGAGGAGGGGAGGAGGAGGAGGAGGAGAGAGGAGGAGGAGGAGGAGAGGAGGAGGAAGAGATGAAGAGAGAGGAGGAGGAGGAGGACGAGGAGGAGCACGAGGAGGAGGAGGAGGAGAAAGAGGAACAGGAGGATGAAGAGGAGCAGGAGGAGGAGGAGGAGGAGGAGCAGGAAGAGGAGGAGGAGGAGGAGGAGGAGGAGGAGGAGGACGAGGAGGAGCACGAGGAGGAGGAGGAGGAGGAAGAGGAGCAGGAGGATGAAGAGAGGGGGGAGGAGGGGGAGGAGGAGGAAGAGGAGGAGGAGGAGAGGAGGAGAGAGGAGGAGGAGGAGGAGGAAGAGGAGGAGGAGGAGGAGGACCCAAGGTCGAAGAACGTTTTTGTGTTTCCGGCGATAAAGGAAAGGGGCCGGAGGGGGGAGATAATGCAACGCCCCCCCCCGCTGCGCGCGCGGCGGCGGTGCCTGGAGCGCACTGGGGGGGGGGGGGGAGGGGCGTCGCGCTATGGGGGGTCCGCGGGCCATAATGCCCATTCTGCCCCAAGCAATAAAAAACACGCTCCAAGGTCGAGCTCTGGAAGCTCCCTCCAGCCCTGGGGGAACCCAAAGATACCGGTGCCGCGTCTTCCCGGACCTCGCCCGGGGTGCGCTCCGACCAGGATTTCGAAACGAATCTGGCGGCGGCGGCGACGAAGGCCTCCCAGAATGCCCAGGAGGGGGAAAACGAGGGGAGGGTAGCGGTATGGGTATGTTGTCTTCCTCTGATGGATTGCCATTGGATTCATCGTGCGTCCTGGGGCCGTGAATGCCAGCGCTGCCCTGCAGTTTCTGGGTTCCCCGTCAGGAGGGCGGGCGCAGGGAGAAGCAGGAGGAGGACTGGGCTGGAGCAGTCGCGAGACGATGGGAAACGTCACGCTGACCTTTTAACCAGCCCGCGGCAAAAAGGCAGGACTCGACGACGAACTCTGGATATGCGCGCGCTGAAAGAAACATATCGAAAAGGCATGGCCATGAGACCTGAAATCTGAAGCATGCGGAGCGCGTGGACGCCGCAAGTGAGCCCGCCAAACACGCCACATCCCGGAATAAACTAGCAACGACAAGCTTGTGCACTCCTTCAGCCCGTGCTGCCCCCCAAAAAACGCCACCCACCTCGCCTGACACACGCCGCGAGTCGAGGTGACAAAAAGCCACACAGCTGCGCCGGCATGCGAACCACAACAGATGACAAACGGGATGCGCAGAAGACCCCTTGCAAAGGAAAAACCATTTGACCAATCACAGCGACCCATTGAAGTTCACCCAGGCGGAAGGCGGAGAGTCAGCGCACGTAGGCTCCCACTGTCCTTCCCGCCCGGGATGCGTGTCGAAGAGACCGAGCAGGAACGTAATAATCGTAAACAGATGCACGGAATGCCGAAGGGCACCGCTGCGCAGCAACTCCCGGGGAAGAACCAGCTGTTGGTACGCCGCCTCGCCCCTGCAGTCACGCCGAAGAAGAGGTGCATGAAAGAAACGAGAAGCCTATTGACTACCTACCAGACCACCCCAACCCAACCCGAAGACCCGAATTTCACCAGAATTTCGGGTTGGGGGGGTACGGATCCACTGGAAATCGAGGATAAATTTGGGCCTTCGGGTTGGGTTGGAGTGGTTTGGTGGGTGGTGGACTATGCGCAGCAAAACATAAAGGTAATGCTGCGCGGCTCCTCCCAGAACAAACAAAAAAACACCGAACGTCGATCGAAACTTGCTCCGTTTAGCCACTGGGATGGCTGTCCAAAACCGCACAGTTTGACACAAGTTCGGCTGAAATGACATCGGCCCGATGCGGCCCTTGTTCAATGATGTGCAAGCACCACCGGCCTTCGGGCAACCCACAAGAGGGATCGCCTCCTCCACAAACAGCCCCTCAATAACAGCACAAACAACGACAGGATGCTACCCAGTGCCCCTCAAGCGCCGACGTGGAGGCACGGAGCTAGAAGTCCCATGGCAAGTGTGAGCTCAAATGGTTACGACACGCGCCTCGGGCCCCCTGTGCTTGAGAGGAGGATGAGGTAGAGGAGGAGAATGAGAAGGGGGAGGAAGATGAAGCGGGGGAGCAGAAGGAGGAGGGGGGGGACCTTGTCCTCCTCTCAATTCCGCTCTCATCCCAATGCGCTCCTCTCCCTTGAGCTCTCAGACGTGACCCCGGACCCTGGGCATCGGGCTCGGGCGCCCACCGCCAGACCTGGGGCCCCATTCCCAGGCCACGGACCCTGGACTTCAGCCCCTGAGGCTCGGAATTTTCGAGTCTCGGACGTCTGGGTACCCTCAACCTCCACCTCCGATACCTTCCGACCTCCGCGGAAGGTGCGGAAGGATTCACCGAAACTAATGGAAACCTTGCGTGATTCAAGGGAGCCCACATCGACCAGATCGAAAAACGGGCGGACGGTTAAGTCAGAAGGTCTGGAAGAATGAGGGAGAGGGTCCTTCGGTGGAAACTCAAGGGAGCCTCTCATACCAGCAGCATGCTGACTTTCGCGAGTCGACGATCTCCGACGCCAGTCGACGCTGAATCGACGCGGAATCGGCGCTGTCTCATCGACTACCAAACGCTAGCGCAAGCGAGTGCACTGTGGAGTCGGAATTGCAAGGACACGCAAGGCTCCTATGCTTTGCGACCAAAAGACTCGCTATTCCTCGAGTCCCTGGACGTCTGGGTCCACCTCTTCACCCGTCCTCGAGCACGGGCGACCCTGTTGTTCCCGCAGAGACCCTTTGCTGAGGGCCTCCCGTCTGTGCGAGACGAAGGCATGGCAAAGACTACATCGTGCAGGGACGACCCGCGATCGGGAATCTCTGAAGCTGGTTGGTCTGAAGATTGCCTCGGGCACCACGGCCGTTCCAGAGCGCCTTGGAACGCTCTGGCGCGAACTGTCTGCCTGGACCCCCGACGTCGTGATTTCTAAGCGGGGCCCACAAAAATCCCGACCCCATCCCTGCTGCAGGTTCGTTTGGCCCTGGGGCCCGAAAGGAGCGACTGGACACCCGAATCGAATGCGACTGCAGACAACTATGACGTGGGCTTTCTGGGCTTGTCCCACAGCAAGCTCGTGTCGCGAGGACTGGCGCGTTAGCAACCTGGAGCGCAGTTGCACCAGCGGAGGACAGCAGCGGTGGGAAAGGACAACAAATAGGACGAGGACGATGCCATGATTCGATTGGCTCAGGGTGCGTTCCAGGAATTCAGAACTATCTGGCGGCCCTCTTCTCTCGAGTCTCCGCGCGGAGCAGCACGGAAACATAAAGCACTTGAAACGTGCCATCGTCATGCCTTCTTTCGGGGAGACCTGAGACTAGAGTTCGAGGGACTCAAATTGGCTCGACGGGACCATCATGAAAATGACGAGAACCACTCTGCAATCTGGCATGAACTCCCGCTGGAAACATCACGCAAAAACCGACGCGGTCAAAATCCAGGGCGCGCTCGTCAAAAAACGTCGCCACACTCGAGTTTCGGCGCACCCGGGTCTTACGTTCCCGCGATTCCTTGCCCCCCTTCGAGACAGGGACGGTGGCACGGCAGAGACGAGAAAGAGACGCGCGCGCGCGAGCAGAAAGCGAAGCCATCCGCACAGAACGATACGGAGCACCCGAAGGCCTCGCACCCCACTCGATCTCCTGGCATCCGCCCACCTGCCTTCACAAAAGATATGTCGACCCTTATTCCAGGCCTTGGAAGGTGGTCGACCGGACCCGAAATTTGGGGCCCAGTCCTGGGGTATACGATGGAGGGGGACTAGGGACCCCTAACAATAGGGGGCCCACAAAGGACGTACGCGCCCAACTATGTGCATGAACACGGCCCCTTGACCCGCGAGACCGGCCGCGTGATACGAACATTCGCGCCATGCGAACTCTCGAAACCAGCGTGGATTCATGTACGTGTACGTCCTTCTTTCGCTCCTGAATCAAGGGTGTATCCCTAGTTGGAGTTCTTCTTCAGGCGCACCCCTAACAGGGGTGCGCCCGAATATCCCCCTGGGGGTGTATCCCAAGGTTCCCCCTTGTTTCAGAGCGGCCACACTTTTCGGGCGGAACTCGGGGATTGGGGCCACAAGCTCGCCCGCAATGTTTTTTTTGGCACGCGAGGCCCCCAGAGGTTCCGGCCGCTTCCTGGGCGGCAAGTTACCGTCCTGGAGCCATTTTGTATAGACCCCGACGACAGCCCTGGATGGCCGGAATCCAAGACATCAAATTGAACAAATGATAGCATGGGCCCCCAACAAAGACGACAACACCCCACCTACGACAACACGGGCTTTAGCATATACCCTGAATCCCGGCTTGGGCTTTTGCGTGGTATGCGCTATGGACGCCGATTGGCCTTTGCGCAACATGGCGGGCCGCACGTGGGGTTGTGTGATTTGTCGGTAATCATATTATGGCAAGGTTGCTTGCATATGCTTGCATGGATGGGTGGCGGAGGCTTCCCCCCTGGCGAGCACCTAGAGGAAGGCTTGAGATCACGCAGCTCGAAGATTACTTGCACGCGTTTTCGGCCCAGCGCTGTTTGACAAGGCAGGCGGGGGGGGGGGGGGGGGAAATGCCACGCAAAAGACGGAAACAAAGAACATATCGAAACTCGCCGGCCCATCGGGCCAGAGGCGTGCTAAAATTTCCAGTCACTGCTTACAATATTTTTACTTCGCGCGTGCGGAACGGCCCCTGGGGTTACCCGCGCGAAAAGTACCCCAGGCGGTCCCCGGCCGGGTCGGGTCAGAGATTCCTTTTCTCTTGGGCGCCGCCCTCGAGGCCCTCCAGACAGCACCAAGATGGGCCAAGAGGCCCCCAAGAGGCTTCCAAGATAGAACAAGACAGCTCCGAGATTCCAC